TTTTTTTTTTTTTTTTGAGTTGGAGTCTCACTCTGTCGCCCAGACTGGAGTGCAGTGGCCACTCCCGGCCACCACAGCCTCGACCTGCTGGGCTCTGGCGATCCTTCCTCCTCAGCCTTCCAAGTAGTTGGAATTACAAGCGTGCGCTACCATGCCCGGCTAATATTTTGATTTATTGTAGAGATGAGGTCTCGCCTGCCCAGGCGGGTCTCAAACCCACGGGCTCAGGCAGTCCACTCACCTCAGCCTCCCAAAGGCGCGGGATTACTGGCTGAGCCACCGAGCCCGGCTGCGTTATTTCTTAAAGTCCCTTTGTCCTTGGCTTAAAGCAAAACAGGAATATTGGTTTCCTTGGAGTATGTTATTGGAGAAATGTCAATTTTTGACTAAAGAACCAGAAATAAATGTTTTGGATTAGATGTTAATTCAGATTTCAGATATTTATTTTCTTTGTAGAGGAAAGAAGTATGGAGAAACAGCTAACGAGTGTGGAGAAGCTTTCTTTTTCTATGGGAAGTCGCTTCTGGAGTTGGCAAGGTATGGGTCGTCTATGTAAAAATTGAAGTTTTCTTGTTTGCTGAAATTATTTACTAGCTTTGAACTTTCACATTAGCTGAGTAAGGCTGGTTTTACCTAGAAAGAGGGTTTGAAGGAGCTGAGTGAGACTGGTTTTATCTAGAAAGAGGGCTTAAAGGAGCTTGAAATAGTGATGGGAGTTGTGAGTGACACTCGATGCAAATAATAGAATTTTAAGTTTTGACTGTTAGAGTCATTAGAAGCGAAGATTTTTCCTATAGTGTGTGGTCAATAATTAATCAAGTCCAATATAGAGAGTGAAACTTTAAAGGCATTCTCAACTAGTTCAAAGCAAGAACAAGAGGAATTTGAAAGAACTAGCATGAGACTGTCTAACAAATAAGACTCACAAATAGTCTAACTAGAAAAAAGTTCTTGGATATTTTCTATCAGAATTTGTTAACAGAATAAGATATATTGAGGGGTATACAAGCTAGTAAATGATCTGTCACCTATTTAATCTCTGTTCTAGTAAATTTTTAATCTGATAATTGTACAGAACCTTCTGATGATTTGCCATGAAAATTTGCCAGAATGGTATTGGTTATCTAGATAATGGGAGGGGGTTGGATGTGATAATGGGGGGGGGTTGGGAAATAATATGTCCCTACATCGTAAACAGAATGTATATAGGCTTTGCTCTTTTTACAAGAGTCATCAGTGCTTTTTGGGTAGCTGGATGAAGGCATATTTCCTGCAGTGCTGTTACAGCCTTAATTTATAATAAGGTTTTGATCATTGTCGTCCATAAGGATGTATAATTTTATATTACCTGCACTTGACTTACTTTTCTGTTGCTTTATAATATGAGTCTTAGGAAAAATTGTTAGTTTAGCCATTAAACCTTTTAGTGTTTTGTACTTTTGTTCTCCTAGAATGGAGAATGGTGTGTTGGGAAATGCCTTGGAAGGTGTGCATGTGGAAGAGGAAGGAGACAAAACAGAAGACGAATCTCTGGTTGAAAATAATGATAACATAGACGGTATGTAGAGTTGAACGCGACATTCAAGAGATGCGACGTTGTATATTTCTTGAATACAAATGATGGATATAGAGCTCTTTCTCCTTGCCCTGGATATTAGGGGTGATCCCTGCATCTATTGGAGTCTGCAGCGGGGGGGAGCTGATTACTGAAACTGACAACAGGCTTTTTGTAAGAGGATAACTTAATTCCTCAACTAAATCTGGTTATTTAAATTGTGGGTTCTTAACTAAAAGATAAAAAGCAAGATTAAATTGGTGCTTTTAAATATTACCACAACCTTAAATATTTTTCTTATGCAGAATTTTTAAGCAGTCTGCAGCTCGGTTATTTTAACATTAGTACTTTTGAAACCTTATTACATTTTTTCGTCTAAGAAAATTATTAATTTCTGAGATTGGCTATCAGATGGGGTTCTATAAGGAGAATGAAACGTTTTGCATTTCTTATGTAACTGGTAGTCAGTGCTCAAGTAAAACAGCATCTAGTTTAACAGGCTTGAGTTTCTTTTGCAATAAGTTGCTCTGCTAGCTAGAACTCTCCCTTTTCTTTTCTCAAGGGGGCAGATAATTTGTAGGCCGTCTGTTAAAACTTGCTAAGCTTTTTGAGAAATTAAAGGGAATGTATTTTTAGTTTCCATTAATGCTTTTATCATTAAACTCGAAGACATGTTTATGCTTCATGTTCTTTAACCATGTAGAGGAAGCAAGGGAAGAGTTGAGAGAACAGGTTTATGACGCCATGGGAGAAAAAGAAGAAGCCAAAAAAACAGAAGACAAGTCTCTGGCACAGCCTGAAACTGATAAAGAACAGGAGAGTGAAATGGAGAAGGGTGGAAGAGAAGATATGGATATAAGTGAGTCTGCAGAGGAGCTACAAGAAAAAGTTGAATTGTCTCCAGATCAGTTCACTGAAACCTATGAAGAGTCAAAAGGAACAGCAGCACCAGAAGGACTGAATGAAGCTGAGGTCACTTGTGAGAAGCAAGAACAGGAAGCCCCAGATACTGAGGAAGAAAATTCAGGGTCTGGAACAGATATCCAAGAAGAACACAGAGAAAAAAGAGATCAGGAGAAGCAGGGAGAGGTAATCTTGAACATAGAGAAGAAGCCAAAAGAAGCTTCAGAAGAGCAACCTGTTGTGATTCTAGAAAAGCAGGACACTGCAGTGAAGGTAGAATCAGAACCTGTAGACCCAGTAGTCAAGCCAGTGCAGGTGGGTGGATGTGAGCCAAAGAAGGTAGCTGCCTCTGAAAACGAGACAGGAAAGGGAAAGGCTGTTCTTGAGCAGCTCGTAGGGCAAGAAGTGCCTCCTGTTGAAGAGTCACCAGAAATGACAACAGAAGCTGCAGAGGCCTCAGCTACAGAGGGTGGATCAGAAGTCTCTGAGAAGCCTGGGCAGGAGGCCACTATTCTTCCTAAGGATGGTACAGTCAATGGACTGCCAGCTGTAGGAGGTCAGACTCCTCTTGAACCACAGACTTCTGTAGAAAGACTGATAGAAACAAAAGATGGCTCAGGACTAGAGGAGAAGTTCAGGGCAAAGCTGGTTCCTAGCCAGGAAGAAACTAAACTGTCCATAGAAGAGTCTGAGGCAGCTGGAGAAGGGGTTGATACCAAGGTAGCCCAGGGAGCTACTGAGAAATCACCTGAAGACAAAGTTAAGATAGCTGCTAATGAAGAGACACAAGAGAGAGAAGAACAGATGAAAGAGGGTGAAGGTAACCGGGATATGCAAGAGCTGCAGTGGGTGGAGTACATTCTGGATTTGACTCACTAATCATGGGTAAAAGTCAGCCTTCCATTCAGGATTTTCCGTCTGCCTTTGGACTAAGAAAGGGCTAAACAAAAATGGGGATAGTTTAAGAAGGTTGTGATAAGTTGAGTAAGTTAAATCCAAAGCAGCAAGTTTTCTTTACCTGGCTTATAAACTAATGCTTTTACTAACTGCAAAATAATAATGTCTTCTCGGTTATTTCTGAGACTTGGCTAGCAGTGAGTAATATGTTGGACTATACTAGCCAATAAAGGGGGATGGAAAAGGTGGATGAGGGGTGGGGAGGTAGGGAAATAGTGGACTAGGCTGGCAGAGAATGCTGAATGGATGTTCACTTGCATGCTACTGGATTTTTTTTTTAAACTTTACTGTTCACATGACTCCTTTTCTCTGCTTTAGGAAGCAGGAACAGAACGGTAGAATCCACTGAATTGGTACACTTAAGCAGGCATGCCATTTAAATTAAGGCAGTAATCTTGAATGTTCTATCACCAGGGTTAAGGAATTCTGGTGCCCCTCTATACCTTTAGTCTTCAGAATGTGTTTAGAGGCTTATTTCACATTAGTTAAAACAGCCCTACCACTCTCAGACAACAAAAAATGTAACTATTATCTCTCTTGCTGCTTTCCCTCCTCATTTCATGCTTGCTTTGGCTACTAAACCGAATTTTTTGTTACTTAGAATGTTACAAACTGTGGATGCTTTTGTATAGTGCTATTGCTCTAATTGTGATTCAATTTTATCACAGTGTATAAGCCTCTAATTAGTAATGCCATAATTGGCACGTCTGACTTGTGCTATCATTTGAGGATTCTACTGTATATAAGGTTCATCTAACATTGGTATTAATAACCACAGGCATATTCCAACTAATTTTTACTTCATGTAATTGCCAGAGCACTTCAAGAATTCTCTTAAGTTTTAGATTTTCAAAGATCCGTCTTCAATATTTGGAGCTCATTCTGGTAAACTTCCTTATACCTATGTGCACGTCCCTGCACTCCAGCTAGCACAGGCGCACCAGCTAGTAATTAGAAGTATATTGGCTAAGTAAGTGGTAGCACCGTTGGGCTTCTTTTGAGTTTTAGGAGTTCATTATGAAAAAAGCACAAGCTGGGCTCGGTGGCTCAGCCTGTAATCCCGCGCCTTGGGAGGCTGAGGTGAGTG